ATTTCTTTTTATTAATTCACCATTTGTAAACTGATGTTTACTGTTCATTTTTTAGAAATATCAATAGCATTTGTATTAAAACTATATTCACTGAATGTAATAAAAAAAAATCGAGAATCGCATCGAATCGAAATCGAATCGAATCGGGACATCTGAATCGATACTCAGCCCTAGATGATACACTAACTTATCGTCTTGGAAATGAATACTTATCTTTAAAACTTCATCAAAATCATGAAAATTGATAAAATCTTAAAGTCATTTGAAATTATGTGATTGACTTGAAATTGCGCTTTGTTAGTACAATACAATCTGAATTTTGTAAGATTGTTAAAATATGTATGCAGTGAGTATGAATGTTTGGGTAAGTCATGGAAAAAGCCATTGAAATTCATTGGTCAAAAAGTGTTCAAACGGTTTTGTGCTTTGTAAACGTAGTCCAAATCCACTCCAGAGGAACTTTGAGTAATAAATGGCAGGATATGCCTGAATGCTGCCAAAGCTTACTTGAAAATTTCTCTCTTTTTTGAATCATATCTACTCTTTGATGGCTATCTTCTTTCTCTTACTTCAACACTCTGCTCTAGCATTTTTACGCACAAGACGTTAATCACGCAGACTGCTTTCATTGATAACTTCGGCTGAGTCCACTTTACAGCTAGATGGAAAGTCGTGTCCTAATCCTCCACCCTTCCGAATAGCGAGAGGCCCACTAACTGATTGCCTCCATTTTTCAGTGTCACCCTCATGAAAGCAAAGGCTGTGTACCCCTGTGAGGCTGAACACGATTCTGAACTCTCTTTCCAGGTTGGCGCAATCTTCCATGACGGTAAGTGTTAACGTTATCACTGCCACAGGCACTCACCCGAATCCGCAGACATATTGGATTTGGCGGGTCCTACAAGCACAAAAAAAAACATCAAAATCTGATCTTATATCAGCATAGGTGGAGGGAGGGAAGTGGGGCAGGGGTGTAACATCCCCTGAAATCAATTCACAAAGAGCGAGACAGATAAAATAACACAAGGAAATGAGGGCTGTAACCACTATCTCAGCTCATGTTTTCTGAAGTCATTATCTCATCAACTTCAGATGAAACATTTCAGAACTCTTGCTGAATTGGATTTACAATAAAAATGATTTTGAGCCAACTTAAAATTAAAATTTTAGTTTATTGGCACCCCAAATAATGGGTCGTTTTACTTTGTGTATGGAAAACAAGCTTGGAAAAAAAATGAATATACAAGAATAACCAGATAAATAATATCTGTAATCCTCAATTTTATGAAATTATCTAAACCAGCAAAATCATCACCTGGCATGTAATGCTGACATGAAAAAAAATGAAAATAAATAAATAGAAATGCTGGAAAGCCAAAATTATAAATGAATAAAGTTTTGGGATGTAAAATATTGCTAGGCATTTATATGCATGTTTGCTACTATATGAGAATAGAAATTAGATGGAATTTTAGATTCTGTAAATTTTTTCTGCCTCTAGTCAGTTTGCATAATTATTGTAAATGTGATTTCATATATGATTTTTTTTTTTTTTTTGCCGTCTGCATGTTTCTTTGTTCATCATTTTCATGTTTTTCTCAATTTTTCTGTCTTTCGCCTGGATGTCATTCACCTTTCATCATTCATCAGGGTGTTCTAATGCATGACATTTATTGAAATGACAGGTTGTCCTCTATCATTCAACAAAATCATAGTAACTACCTGCACAGGCATCCCGCTGTTTGCTCATACAGGCCAGCACATGTTACCGATCAATGGTTCAGAATGCTCTGCCTTGTCTAAGACAATGTTCAGCATCCTTAGTATGCCGTGATAATTAACATTCACAGTTTTTATTATCCTCAGCACAGACATACGTAATTCCTCAGTGCTGCTCTTGCACTAATTCATTGCTGCTCTCATCTAAAAAATTACTTTTCACCCATTATTCACAAATCTCCCACCTCTTGTGTTTGCTTATTTAACACTTTGGCTAATTTAATAATTCTTGTTTAACACACTTTGAACCCATTCTGCTTATTTTTCTCCCAAAATGAACACCGAAAATGCAGAAAAATCATCAGGGATTGGCTATAGTTCTTCAAACTTTCCTAACTCATACCCATATAATTTACATTCATCAGCCATGCTAACGATCCACATTAAATCCGATGAGGACTTCTTGCTTGTCTGACATGCAGTGTGACAGAAGAGCTGCAGTAAGACTTTTACCTGTGTGTCCGTGGTTTTGCTCTGCAGTGACACTCTCCAGGGAGCCCGGATGGCTGGAGGGTGTGCTGGAGGGAAAGCGAGGACTCATCCCTGAAAACTATGTGCAGATACTGTAACTCCGAAAAGAACTATCCTCACACTTCTCTTTATATACATGGCATCCATGGTCTCGGTGGCTCTTTCACAATGGCACTGCTTGTCGTTCCTCCATCCTTCTCCACACTGAGAAAAATATATATATACTGTATCCAAAAACACAGATATTGCAAGCACAGGAGTTAAGTTCAAGTATAAGCTAAGATGTGCTGTATACATACAAAGAGACTGCACTTTTAGAAATGTAAATATACATTTGTGTGGGAAAATATGCATCCGTCATTGTGACGTGTTGTCCTCTTTTTCTTTTTTTAATTGCATGTCATAATTTTAGCCAAGTAGTTTGGGTTATTTAGCATTTGTATACTCAATACTCAAAGATACCTTGAGTGTCTTTGTATTTAATATTATCAAGTTGCATTTAATTGGGCATGTGATGATGTATAGTAAAACGTGTAACCTTATGACAGTGCAGTGAACATTGTCAGTTTTGTGTCTTGGTTCATTGGAACACTAGAGCAACGCTTATTAGACATAAATTTAGTGCTTGTCGGTTATTGATATTGAAATTGGTATGCAATTATTAAATCTTTCGCATTGATTAAAACTGATGCTGTGCCTTAAATTTATTATGCATGGCATGTTGGGACGCTGTTCAATAACTCGAACAGAACAACTTGTTTTGCTATTCTGTATATAGGTTTTAACGTCTTTTCGAAAAATAGAGACCGATAAATAAAGTAACCCATACAATGACGTCAAATTACATATTGCCAAGTCTTACATCTGTGTTGTATACATAGAATTATTTTCGTGCAAAGCAACTTAAAAGCCAAGCACTTTCCCTCTTTAAAGTTTTAAAGTTTACCACATAGTTTTTGCAGAAACCTTAAAAATGGCAGGACTTCACTGATGTTTAATGAGACCATTTTCATTTTTCTAAGAGCCCTTGTTCCACGGGTTCATATTTGTGACTGAGCGTATCTGCGGTGATTTCAGACAGTGATTTATGACCTCTGCAAAGGTCTTGGCATTGGTATCATTTTTTTGATGTTGATCAATGTTAAATAAATAAAGCGTTTTATTCTTATATCTTGCTTTTCATTTTTATTTATATGCCAAAGTAAGTGTCTATAAATAATGGAAGCCATATGCTGCAGGGTGCTGTGGACCACTAATGTGCTTTACTGGGAAATAAACTAAAACATTTGTGATATGACTGTTGTTTAATGAAAAATAAAATAACGTTGTGTGATTTTCTTAATGTCGATTAACTTAATTGTGTGGATGTGCTCCCATCAAGGTCAAAACGACACTAAGGCTTCTGCTGAATAACTTTAGCTTGTCTAATAATTCAAAACTTCATTACCTAATTAGTATAACCCATAAATGTTTGCATTTCTTTAATAGCAATCTTGACTATGAGTGATAAACAATAGCCACTTTCACACATGAAACCCGTTAAATTACAGTAAAATTGCTGGCTATCTCTTTTGGTAAATGTACCACATCTGTTGTTCGCACATGCAGCGGCTTTTCATTATTTATCCGTATTGCTGCCATTCACACATCTGTGCCAAAATACCATTAAAAACTCACTGATGCCATTTTCTAGAAATTCATAAAAAATAAAAAAAAAACTCTTATTTCAGTTAAGGTTTGTTGTGTTTCGCTACCGCATTAATTTTAGTTTCTGTCCCATTTAATTACATTTCTTGCTAAATTGTGTGCTAAATTGTGACCCTGGACCACAAAACCAGTCATGATCTGAATAAATAAGCTTTCCATTGATGTATGGTTTGTTAGGATAGGAAAATATTTGGCCGAGATACAACTATTTCAAAATCTAGAATCTGAGGGTGCAAAAAAAATCAAAATACTGAGAAAATCGCCTTTAAAGTTGTCCAAATGAAGTTCTTAGCAATGCATATTACTAATCAAAAATTAAGTTTTGATATATTTACAGTAGGAAATTTACAAAATATCTTCATGGAACATGATCTTTACTTAATATCCTAATGATTTTTGGCATAAAGGAAAAATCGATAATTTTGACCCATACAATGTTTTTTTGGCTATTGCTAAAAATATACCCACGTGACTTACGACTGGTTTTGTGGTCCAGGGTCACAATTAGATTTGTTAGAGCTTTGTAATTGGCTCAAACTCTTAGTAAGCATTTTGATGGTTTATTGTAATTTCATTGTCCAAATGTAAGCAGCATTTTGTTATTGGTACCTGTCATTTCGACACAACCGGATTTCTGTTGTATGTAAATGAACTGTTGTCTATTGCATACATTGCATTTACAGCATAGTGGCTTATTCTCTCCCACACACTTCTAGCCCTGGAGCTGCTCTGCAGCTTTTACATTGAACCTCTCCCCCTTTAAGTGGATTAAATCCTCATTTCCTAGCAGATTTGGACTGCCTCCTCATATACTGGGCTTGAACTGGAGCACACGGCAGTCTAGGTCCTTACCGTACACTGGATGGAGTGCTTGAAAACAAACAATTTGCATCAAAATAGACTATTTTGTTGGAGCCACAGCGCAGCGGTTAGTACACACTGTTTGGCGCAACTGAGTCAGGTTTAGGTTATTTCCTGTTTTCTGTTCCCATTTCCTTTCATGACCCCATCATACACACATGATAAGTGCACATTTCTTGCAGCATAACTGCAGTTTGTTCAACTGCGGCTAAAGGGATTTTCATGGTTCCTGATCCTGTCAACATAAAATGTCATTTGCAAACCATTTTACTTCAGTAATGTGGTATATTTCTCAGTAAAATGGGATATTTAAAAATAAAGACTGTCATCATTTACTCATCCTGATATTGTTCCAAATCTGTATGACTTTCTTCCTTCTGCAGAGCACAGAAGATATTTTAAAGAATGTTTCTGGGTTTTGACCATGCAAGGAAACTCAATGAGGTCCAAAACAACAATGGAGCCATTTGACTTTGAATGTATGCAATAAAAGTGTCATTTTTTTAAAAGATCTTATTTTGTGTTCCCCATAATAAAGTCAGAAGTACGAGTGTGCGTAAACGATGACAATTTTAATTTTAGGGTAAACTACAAAGTCACTTTCAAGTAAAGTCAGCTGACTTGGTGGCCATATTTACAAAAACTTCGAACAGCTATTTCGGCATGCAAGACCAACTCCTATCTATTTGAATGGGGAGTATGGTTGCCTATTTAAGCTAACATTTAAATAACATTTCAAATCAACAATTAAAATTTGTTTTTATGAGACCAGAGCGTCTAACTGCAGCTACAGTGGTGCAGTGAATTAACCAATTGACAATTTTTTATTTTATGTATGTATGTATTTACTTATTTAATTTATTTTAAGTTATGTTATGCTATTTTGATTTTATTTATTTGTTTTTATTAATTTTTTTTATTTAATTTCATTTTTTTTTTATTTAATTTTATTTTACTTTAATTTTTATTGTATATATTTATTGTTATTTATTTATTTTTTATTTACCGGAACTGCATTACTAGAGCTGTCCTGGAGCTGCTATATTGCACGTTGCACTTTTCACTGTATATATATATATATACCTTACATGTTTTGGTAAACTATCCCTTCAAATATCCTGTTTTTACGTGCAGTAATTTTCACCAATTGGAATGAACCCTCTGATTTCAGATGTGAAGCATCCTGTTTGTATGAACCCTAATTCTGATTCACATATTCATTTACATGTGCATATTTAAAAGAAAGTTGACATTTGTGTCAGAAGAGCTTTTTAGCAAATACAGTATTCATGTGTAAACACATGTAGCACAGTAGTGCACATGTGCGCAAATAATTTTTGAATGTGATTATAAAATTAGTCAGAATAAGCTTTTACAAATATCATTCAAACTGAACTCAAATTTGGATAGATTAAGGTGTTTACATGAAGCTTTTTCAGTCCGATTGAGCCATCAGTCTGATTATAAACTGCTTATTTAGGTGTATGTAAATGTAGTTAAAAAAGTGGTCTCTTTATGCCAGGTAGTAAGAGGGGGGAGGGGTTTAAAAGATAGTTCTTGTTTGCATCACCCAAAATGGAAAGTTATTATACACAGGTGGAGTATGTTATATTTTCGTAAAAGATTACCAGTTCAATTTGTCTTTCACATAATGTGCACCGAATCACTTGTAGTAAGACCAGGAATGCATAAATAATAAACAAGGTAATTTCTTGAATTTTGATTTCTGGACAACTGAAGTAAGTCACAGCCTCTGTCTAATTAGCTTACAAAGCACCTCCGGACTGTGCGGTGTGCGTGTTATCACACTTCAGTGCACTGTACACATCATTAGCGTGCAAATGTCTTCCAGACTGCTGTGAGATGTGTGTCCCTGAATGCGTGTGTTTGAGTGCCACGTATTACATAATTACCATGACATGGCGGAGTCACAGACATCCAATAACTAACAGAGCAGATGATAGGACGAGACATGGGAGAGGGCTAAAAATAGGCAACGTGTCGAAGAGCCGGGTGCTTACATAATCAAATGAGCCCGAGCTAATGAGATGGGCAAACTCACCCTCCCGCCATCCCTCTCTGCTTCATCTCACTTTCTCACCCTCTGGCTTGCTTTTTCTCTCCCTCTGTGGATCCCTTTCACTTCAGTTTAACCGCAAAGTTCCCATCTGTCGACGCCCCC